GTGTGTTGCATAATATATATAATTATATATGTATATAATATATATAATATATATTAATATATATATAACTATAATATATTACATATATATTATATATATATATATATAATACTTATAATATATATACACAATGTCTGCCATTCCTGTCTTCTTCGGTCTCTATCAGTCAATATCTATCTATCTATCTACTTTTCTGTCTTCTCTCTCTCTCTCTCTTCTCTCTCTCTCTCTCTCCTCTCCCTCTCTCCTCTCTCTCTCTCTCTCCTCTCTCTCTCTCTCTCTCTCTCTCTCTTCTCTCCCTCTCCTCTCTCTCCTCTTCTCTCTCTCTCTGCTCTCTCTCTCTCTCTCTCTCTTACTCTCTCTCTCTCTCTCTCTCTCCTCTCTCTCTCTTCTCTCTCTCTTCTCTCTCTCTCTCTCTCTCTCTCTCTCTCTATCTCTCTCTCTCTCTCTCTCTCTCTCTCTCTCTCTCTCTCTTCTCTCCTCTCTCTCCTCTCCTCTTACTCTCTCTCTCTCTCTCTTTCTCTCTCTCTCTCTCTTACTTCTCTCTCTCTACTCTCTCTCTCTCTCTCTCTTCCTCTCTCTCTTCTCTCCTCTCTTTCTCTCTCTACTCTCCTCTCTCTCTCTCTCTCTCTCTCCCTTCTCCCCCTTCTCCCCTCCTCCCTCTAACTTACCCAAGAATCAGCTGTCCGCAAAAGGCGACGCGAAACGTTTTAACCTTCAGTCGAAAACCGAGATCCGAAGCAGCTGTTCGAATCCTCCGCCCGGCTTCCTTTGCGACCATAAAAAATCTCGCTCGCGTCGTCTGCATTTGCAAGGCTTTATGGCAAGCGTTGACGAGGTGCAGACGTTTCGGACGCGTCGCATCGGTGTGTAAATATATATAGAGAGAAAAAAAACAAAGATGATGTTGTGTGGTTTTGTATGAATGGCTGAGGAGGTGGAAGGCGAAGAAGAGGAGGAGAAGGAAAAGGAAGAGGGAGAGGGAGGAGGAGGAGGACAGGAAGAGGGGAGAGAAGGAGAGAAGAAGAGGAAAAGGGCGGAGAAAGGAGAGAGAAAAAGAATGAAGAAAAGGAGAGGAGGAAAAGAGAAGAAAGAAAGAAAAGGAAAGGAAAAAGGGAGGAGAAAAAGAGTAGGATAATGATGAGGAGGAAGAAGAAAAGAAGGAAGAGGGGACAGTGGAGGGGAGAAAGAGAATGAGGAAAAGGGGGAGGAGAAGATTAAAAAGGAAAGGGAGGAAGAGGGGGAGGAGATAGAAGAATTACGAGCTTGTGTTGCAGTGTCGCAACTCGTTTTCCGTCCCTTGTCGGCCCGAGCCCCGTGTCACCTGGCGGCCACAGAAAGATATGTACACATACGTTTCCATTTGGATATGCATACATCAGCCCGCTTGTTTGGATTCAGAGATATGTAAAAGCGAGCGAGAAATGAATGGACATTTGATTGCCCACATATAAACATGCCTTGGTGAAAGGTCTGCAAGTGTGTGAGTGTGTGTGTTGTTATATATATATACTATATATATATATAATATATTATATATAATTAATTATATATCATATGATAGTGATAGATGATGATTTGCTGTGTGTGGTGTGTGTGTGTGTTTGTGTGTGGGGTGTGTGTGTGTGGGTGTGGTTGTGTTGTGTGTGTGTGTGTGTGTGTGTGTGTGTGTGTGTGTGGTGTGTGTGTTTGTGAAAGTGAGAGAGAAAAAATAGAAAAGCGCCGTTTTGGGCGTATGTATAGGCATATGTGCGTGTTGTGGGAGTGTGTGTGTTTGCCAAGTAACAAGTTTGGACATAGAAGGGGGATACCATATTATATTTTGCATGTTTCCCATTCTACAACCTTATCAAACGAACTGAAAGATATATTTACAGATCCACAAGAAGAGCACACAGACCCCAGTGCCTGCCCATCACAAACAGAATCCACAGGAACCCCACAAAGCACACAATACAGGTGGGGAAAAATACACATCATTAGCAGATGAGACCCATACAGAGCCACCCCAACGGAGATGACAGCAGCAGACACCAATCCACGCCACGAGATGAATCACGGAGACTCCACAACGATGCCCGTACATGGTATAGAGCCAGCGCGGGCATCGGGGGCAGCCCATCTGTTCCCGCCGCGTTATTTACACTGTCGAAGGCCTGGCGTGATCCTTCCCCAGGCGCCGCGTCGTCGGGAACCCCAGACGGTCCTCCCCCCCGCTGCTGTGTCACTCGGTCGCGAAGGTCGGGTCGAAGGCTCTTCGGGTTTGGATGTAATGTTTTCGAAAGAATGATAGACTTGCATGTAAGAGTGTCGGTTTCTTTTTGTCATTATCTCGTTGTCTTTAGGCATATTTGTTTATTTAGATTTGAGGAGTTATATGTACACACACACACACACACACACACACACACACACACACACCACACACACACACATACACACATTTATAATATATATATATATATATATTATATATATATATAGATATAGATATCAATAGAATACCCCTTCAGCCACATGAAGAAATAGGATATTGTCATACCCCCCCCCCCCCCCACCTTCCAACCACGATCAGATATTCCCGATAACACAAATTACGATATGAACTTACTTAGAAAAGAATATCCTGGAGGCATCCTCATCCACTCGCTTAAAAATTCGTCTGCATTTATTTCTTCGATGTTAAATACTATTGTTTACAATGAGTTGTCATCAAAGAATGCACGCAAAGACCAAAGATCTTACCATTGCTTACTAGAGCTTACATCACATAATTATATATTATAATTATCTATTTTTAGGATGAGAACTAGGTGCTTCTGTTTTATCCATTTGCTTAAATATATCCAGAGTATATTTCTTGACTTTAAAATATTCTTGACTATGCAATTTAAACGTTGACTTTCCCTTGAAAAAAAATACAACTTGCATACCTCAGATATTCTTATCCGCCTCATTAAAAAAAAAGAAAAAAAAAAAAAAACTTTCGACCGAGTGACAAGACGTCTCAGTGACACACGCCCGTGACAGCTTCCGAAACATGGAGGGAGGGGGGGGGCAGAACACATTGTCCTGGAAGCTTTATGACAGCTTCTTCACTTACCGGCAGAGAACGTGATACCAGTGCTATTTGTCATCACGATATTGCCATATATAGACAGATATATGGACGCTGCAATTGATTCTGCACAACCATCTCTCTCTCTCTCTCTCTCTCTCTCTCTCTCTCTCTCTCTCTCTCTCTCTCTCTCTCCTTCTCTCTCTCTCTCTCTCCTCTCTCTCTCTCTCTCTCTCTCTCTCTCTCTCTCTCTCTCTCTCTCTCTCTCTTCTCTCTCTCTCTCTCTCTCTCTCTCTCTCTCTCTCTCTCTCTCTCTCTCTCTCTCTCTCTCTCGCTCTCTCTCTCTCTCTCTCTCTCTCTCTCTTCTCTCTCTCTCTCTCTCTCTCTCTCTCTCTCTCTCTCTCTCTCTCTTCTCTCTCTCATAATATATATATACTCTCTCTCTCGCTCTCTCGCTCTCCTCTCTCTCTCGCTCTCTCTCTCTCTCTCTCTCATCTCTCTCTCTCTCTCTCTCTCTCTCTCTCTCTCTCTCTCTCTCTCTCTCTCTCTCTCTCTCTCTCTCTCTCTCTCTCTCTCTCTCTCTCTCTCTCTCTCTCTCTCTCTCTCTCTCTCTCTCTCTCTCTCTCTCTCTCTCTCTCTCTCTCTCTCTCTCTCTCTCTCTCTCTCTCTCTCTTCTCTCTCTCTCTCTCTCTCTCTCTCTCTCTCTCTCTCTCTCTTCTCCACTCACTCACTCACTCTCTCTCTCTCTCTCTCTCTCTCTCTCTCTCTCTCTCTCTCTCTCTCTCTCTCTCTCTCTCTCTCTCTCTCTCTCTCTCTCTCTCTCTCTCTCTCTTCTCTCTCTCTCTCTCTCTCTCTCTCTCTCTCTCTCTCTCTCTCTCTCTCTCTCTCTCTCTCTTCTCACTCACTCACTCACTCACTCTCTCTCTCTCTCTTTCTCTCTCTCTCTCTCTCTCTCTCTCTCTCTCTCTCTCTCTCTCTCTCTCTCTCTCTCTCTCTCTCTCTCTCTCTCTCTCTCTCTCTTTCTCACTCACTCACTCACTCACTCTCTCTCTCTCTCTTTCTCTTTCTCTTTCTCTCTCTCTCTCTCTCTCTCTCTCTCTCTCTCTCTCTTCTCTCTCTCTCTCTCTCTCTCTCTCTCTCTCTCTCTCTCTCTCTCTCTCTCTCTCTCTCCTCTCTCTCTCTCTCAGAACACATTGTCCTGGCAGCTTTATGACAGCTTCTTCACTTACCGACAGAGAACGCCCCCTACTGTGTGTGTCGCAGGTGATGCCAGTGCTATCTGTTATCACGATATTAGCATATATAGACAGGTATATGGACGCTGCAACTGATAATGCACAACCATATCCGTGGAGAGGGAGAGAGGCCGGGAGAAGGGGGATACAGACACATGTATGCACGAACGAACAACCATATACACAGGCAGACATGTATACATATAAAGCCAGGTATATAGATATCCAGATAAACTCAAAAGGGGAGAAAGAGGGAGGGGAAGGCAGAGAGGCAGACAGACAAACAGGCAGACAGTCAGATTGATGGAGGAAGACAGACATGCATACAAGTAAATAAACAGACACACACGCAAAGATAATGATAATATGCGAAAGGTCGATTTACCTACTTAACTTAATACTTCATGAAGACCCCTTGCAAGGCATTCCTTTAGGAGTTGAGACATTGATTGGCAATGAATATTACCCAAAGAGCATAACAAATATCTACTTTTTAAAAATGAATGAAGAACACAGGAGGCTGGGTTAATTTACTGGTTGGATGGATCAATTGAACATTCTTTGTGCTGGAAGGGAAGGTTATGCCGGATAGTATATATCCAAAGTTCCCTATGTGTATGTGTCTGTACGAGTAAGTTACTCTTTTGTATAGTTTACGCTTAAATCCTAACCGTTCTCTTAGAATTTCAACATAGAAAACGAGCAAGTTTATAAGGCACGCTTTATTCAATCTTGTACATGGTTATTGCAACAATCGTAGGGAACATATATAAAGTATTTTAGATGAAATAGTATGACAGAGATAACAAGTGATTTCACAGGTTTGATGCCACGAGGCAGTTAATGTAAAACAGTTTTTTTTTTCAGATTTCCCGACTCCCTTTATCACCCTAATATGATCAAAAAGTAATTTTACACAATAGTTCCGCATAACGGATCGCGACAATCTTGGTATCAATGGATTCCTCCCATTCTCTACAATCCAAATATTTGTAAATTATTGCTCGACCCCCCCCCCTCCGCCCCCTCCATTAGCAATAACCTTGACTTAGAAAGTAGGGGAGGGCATGGAAGATACCAGGGAAATTGCGGGGTAAAATATGAA